TTACCCACTTGTAGTTACGGCTGTAGTTACGGCTACCTGTAGTTACGGCTACTTGGAAGGTTGAGGCAGAAGGCTCACCAGAGCCCAGCAGGTCAACACTGAGGTGGCTGTTAAGTGTGCCACTGCACTACAGCCTGGGCGATGGAGTGAGACTCCATCCCAAAAAAGAAAAAAAAAGTGAATAGTGAATAGCAGAGTGCACTAAAACCCAACAGAGTATCTGCATGAGTATTTTAGGGAAAAAATGATTTTTTTACCTCAAATTTAGCAATTTACACACAATTAGGCACACACAATTTTGCCAGACATCTAGAAGTATTGTTGAAAGGATAACAAAAAAGGACCTGTCCGTATCGAATTTTCTTATGGTGAAAACATATACTAGATTTTTTTAAAGTAATGTTTAATTTTAGTTTCATATCTCCTTATACAATTGGTATATACTTATTGATAAAGTGATAGTTTAATAAATTCAATTGTATTGTAATTTGCTGTGCATAATCATCTGTACACTTGATACAAGGTAATCATTCACCCCAATTTATGTTTTATCATAAAATATTTTAATAGGTTTCATTTTCATAAAGGACATCAGATTAATTTAGTGGTAGTTTGCATTAAACAGCACAGGAATGGACTGCCCTCTTACCCATATATCCGAGGGCCTATAATTTTCGTTTTTCCATTCAGTGCTCTCCTACCTGCATTTCCTCTTCCCTTTCACAAATGTGGGCAGCAGAGAAGAAGGGAGGCAGTGACAATGAACAGGGTGAGAGGATGTAATTAATTCTAGTCACTTTCCCAAAAAACTCTCAGTATTTTTACAATACTGAAGGGGAACTGAAGTCAGCATTGATACTTCGATGAGATTTAAGAATGCATGTTGAAAGGAGGTGAGAGGACAGTAATAAAGTATACCATAGACTTAGGTTAAGAGCATGCTATAACCCAATAAATATGTAATTGGCTTGTGGACAATAGCACAGTCATTTTTAGTTTTTAGTTTTCTGTCTTAAAACATAACCTGTAACTGTTTAAAGTTCCAGTTATGGGAAAAACTGCAAAGCTCCAGTTATTCTTCCCTTATCTCACTTTCCCTTAGCAGCAACCAATCAGGTGGCAGGGGGTAATCACCTAAGTTTCCAGATGTCTCTGCAACTTCCCTAGCTAGTGGACCAAGGTCAGCCCGAGTCAGGCTAGCCAATCCTCCACGATTAAGCTGACCACCAGAGGAACTGCCCAATTAAATGGTAACAAAACTGGAAAGCCCCCCAAACTCCTCCTCCCTTTGTGTAAAAGCATAAAAGGCATCTGCTTAAAGAAATCAGAGCCTCTGAATGTACTCCGCTGTGTCGGTTGGTGACAGAGGTCCAGGCTCAAGCTTGTAAATAAAGACCCTCTTGAATTTTCATCGGAATTGGCTCTTGGTGGTCTCTCGGATTGAACTTTCGGCCACTACATTAATACAGGAATACTAATTAGAACACAGACACTTGGGACCAAGTGATTCGTATTTTAAGCTCACAAGATGAAGAACAGACAGCAATGCAACATGACTACAAGAGAAAGAAACAATGAGATGGAGAGAAGGAATTAGGGTTAGTGGAGAAAAATCCCAGTAATCAGAGGTAGAATATTTTGTTGCAGCCCTGCTTTCTTGTTCTAGCTCTGCCATTACTTGGTTTTCAACATTTTCAGATCCTCTGCATCCTCCCTTTAGCTTGAGATGTATTTCCTAGTCCCCATCTCGTCCTACATGCTCAAGAATGCAGAGAAGCCATTTTAATTGAGGCGAGTCACAGTCTGTGTGCCTTGACAGTCTACCTGCTTTAAACTCTAAGACAGCCTAGAGAGAACTTTGATCAGATGGAAGAGTTAGAAAGAACTGGAAGATGAAGCTAAAAATAGAATTTTGTAGTTATGTATTAACAACTTTTTTTTTTTAGTTGGAGTTTCACTCTGTCACCCAGGCTGGAGTACAGTGGCACACTCACGGCCACCCCAGTGTCGACCTGCTGGGCTCCGGCGATCCTTCCACTTCAGCCTTCCAAGTAGCCAGAACTACAGGCACACGCTACCACATTTGGCTAATTTTTGGTTTATTGTAGAGATGAGGTCTCGCCAAGTAGCCCAGGCTGGTCTCGAACCCGTGGGCTCAGGCAATCCATTTGCCTTGGCCTCCCAAAGTGCTGGGATGACAGGCTGAGCCACTGAGCCCGGCCTGACAACTTTTTGAATTTCCTTTTAATACCAATATTTCTAATGTTGCTTGATTCATGAACTAAAAGAAATGAAATATACAAAGCATTTGTCTAATAGGGAGGGCTT